TTCGATTGTTGCAAAAAGTTTTGTCCGGAAAAACACAAAACAACAGAGCTGTCAAAACAACGTTTAAGTACTTTATAGTTATCAACGAGGAACAAACCTCCTATACAAATAATAACCAAAGTAGATAAACCACCATCACACACAAAATTGAGCATTCGGAGTAAAGAGGACGATACGACGTCATTTGACGAAAAGAAAACTAAGGGAGATGAGCGAAAGGGTTTTGAAATAGACGTAGGAGGAGAAAAGGACAATGAAGACGAATCAAAAGGAAGGTCGTGTGAAAGAGCTACAATAGAAGGAGAAGAATTATAAACACTACACCGATCAAACTTGTTAGCGCGTTCTTTCTTCCTCAGACGTTTCCTCTTAGACTTCTGTAAAATACCCCTTGAATTAAGTGATGGACAGAAGCGTCGGATGAAGAAGTTTTTTGTTGACAGTAGATCGCTCGAAGATCAAAAATAGATAGGAATCGCCACATATTGTTGAATGCCACAATGTCGAAACCATCCATAGAGTCCTTCATTTCTAGTGCCCTTGGAGATTAGGTTCTCATTACACGCTCGATAAGCATGCTCACACCACCGGGAATGCAAATCTTATCCGATACTGCCCACATACACATGTTTACACCACAGGGAAACCAATAAGTGCACCAAGAGACCATTATTGTAATCAGTCGCGGCACGCCACGATCCAGCAATACAACTAACAAACTTTGACGCCCAAGGGATACATTCACAAAGAATCAAAGCGACCACCACCACTTGAAGAAATGAATTAAGTTCTTGGCATCGACGACGAGAAGCAGAAAGAGTCTTAACTTACAACAACGTTGCGCTAGTGACCATAGTTCAGACACTGGCAGCACCATCCCCACCCAGATCTTCGAATACGTCAATAGCCGAGTTGTCTTTAGCAAGAGGAAAAACCTCTGACCCCCTTTTTATCACAATCTCGTCAATAGTCTATCGAATCGTAATGTACTTGATACCTTCCTGGACGCATATCGTCGTCAACTTATCCTTAGTTACTGGTAGTGACTTGCGCGTCTCTTTGATGAAATTTTCTCGATCATTGAGTTTCGTCGGCTGCTCAGTCATAGCCTTCTTCTTTCCTTTAGCGGAGCTCTTCATACCCACTTCATCCAACCGAGCTCTGGAATTTGAGAGAAGAGTCTTGGTAGCCTTCTCGGCTTCTAGCTGCACGATCCTCTCCTTGGCTATTTCGAGTTCTTGTTCAGCTTCCCTCCTACTGTTCAACTCACGTAATCCCATCTCCTCAAGAGTATCGACTTCGAGCTGGTGCGGGTGCTTTAAATCCTTGTTATTCGACTCGAAACCGTAGGAGCTTTAGTGGGAGTCCGACGTGGCAACATAGTAGCTTGAGACGTTGGAGTGGACAATGCCATACAACCACGTTTAGGACCAGGTCGGATAGCCTCCTGCCTCCAAGCCTCCGCTTCAGCATATGCCTCGTCTCTGGCTAGGTGAATAGTCCCAATCTCTTTTTCCAACGCCTCCATTCGCCGCCTCGTGGCCATAGCTTCATCAAGATGGGTTTTCATCTTCTCCTGTTCCATCATCAATATAGCTAAAACATCATCATTCGCATGCGAGACGGAAGCCTGTGGTGCCACACTCTTACACGATGCTTCCACATCTTCCAGTTTCTTTCCCGATAGCGCCAAACACACAACATCGAGCTTGCTGTTCATAGACTCGGTCAATCGCCTTTGAAAATCTTCACGCTCCCTTCTATCCTTAGCCCTTCTTTTTTCGTCCTCCTGATCTTTCTTTGCTTTCTCATCTTCAACTTGTTTAGTCTTCTCCTGTTCGACATCGACATTATATCGAACCTTGATAAGAGCGACCATTCCTTCCAAGTACTTCAAATGTTGATGAGTTTGATACCACCTGTTGTCTCTTTGATAAGTACCTGCAGAACTGGATACATTTGGCACAATAGCAGTCGACGGAGCAGAACTAGAGGGTAAAGTCAGTAATGGAGCTTGTGCAGGAACAACAACATTGTTAGGTTGAGATGGACGGGGGTGAGGACACCATCTAACAAAAGGATTAGGATCACCACAATTAAAACATGTACGAACAATGGTAAAGGTAGGTAAATTGGACACCATGGTAAAAGTCGAAGTCACACGTTCAGGTAGTGGAGGGAGACCCCAAGGAAACACTACACCTATGTCCGTTACAGTAAACAGATAACGAGTTCGAACCCCTTGCCAACTAGATGAATGACGATTTCGATTCCTCTCCAACCTGATGAATATGATAAGTGTTCGGGCCCACTTCCTTTCAAGAAAGGAGGGGGGGGGAAGAGTACGTCAAGTAGGTACCTTTTCGTGGCTGACTGCTTTACACCCAACATGAAGGAGGACCAACACACACACACACAAAGGGAAAAAGAAAACAAAAGAAACCGGAAAGAAAAAAGAAGTACATGAAGTAGGTGCGGCTGTCGCCGTTGATATCCGTTATCTACGACCAAGGTCTCTTGAACCACCACTCCCCCTCATTGCCGAAAGTCGACTTCCCGGGGAGTTAGGGCTGAAAATGGAGGGGGGTCGGCGACCTAAAAAAAAAAAATATATATATATATATATATATATATATATATATATATATATATATATATATATATATATATATATATATATATATGATGGGGTGTGAACCGACAGTCTGTGTAGAGTTTTCCATCTGGTGTGGGTGAGTGATAGTCTACTTTGATTTTGGTTAAGGTAGATTATCATTTACAGTGTAATCAGTGAGGGGATTCTGCAGACAGTTGAGGGTTCAGCCTCCTGATGAGTCGGTGAAATTCCGACGAAACAGTTTGTCACAGCCCCTCGTTTGTTGTCCTCTTCTCTCTCTCTGCCTACGGTTTACCGGGCAGTTCTGTTTGTGACGATATATGCTACGACTTCGCTAGCTTCCTGCTACGGTTTTTTCCGGTCAGGTCGAGCG